CCAATCAAATTAGTACTAGACAAATTTAGATGCTCTAAATTGGAGAGCATATTAATTGACAAAAATTGTTGTCTGGTGAATCTATTTTGTGCAAGATTAAGGTATTTGATATTATGAGCATAATTCAAGCCACTGAAAAACACTCCACTAAGCTGATTTTCGCATAAATCCAAATAAACCAACTTGGACCAATTGAAGGTGGAACTGAAATTTACCTCTGCAATGTGGCCTTGAAATTCGTTTCTGCTCAAATCAATCACCTCCGAAGGCCCTTCAAAAACACCAACAACTGAACCCTTAAATAGATTGCCCGAAATATTAAGATATCTGATCGATTTCATCCCCGAAAAATCTGAATCCCGGCCCTCAATCTCATTATTAGCCAGGTTCAAGAATTCCAGCTTCGTCAGTGCAGCACCAAAATCACGAGGAAGAGAGCCGTTGAGCTTGTTTACGGAGAGATCAATGTAAACCAAGGACCTGCATTGTGATAGCCCCAAAGGAATGTTTGACTCAAATCCATTCCGACTAAGATTAAGAACTTCCAAACTGACAAGAGAGCTTATTGCTTCAGGGATACTCCCAGAGAAATTGTTGAAAGAGAGGTCAAGAATTTGTAGGTGACCAAAATTGCCCATGTTACTTGGGAGATTTCCAGAAAATTGGTTAAAGGAAAGATTAAGATTCTTAAGTGTACCCAAACTCCAGAAATCAGAGGGGAAAGAAGTGATTTTGTTACTACTCAGATCCAAAGTTTCAAGCTTCGACAATTTCCCGATCGTGTCATCAGGAATTACACCAGATAAACCCAACGCAGTTACTTCCAATTTCACAACATTCTCTCTTTTGGCATCACAAGACACACCCCTCCATGAACAAAAAGGGCCAGAGAAGTCATAATCTTTGGAAGAATCTGAGGACATTTTTTGCAAGAAATCAAAGATAAATAACCCGTCTGTATTGGGTAGTTGAGAAACCAAAGGCTTAAAGAACAGCGTTAGAATAAAAAAAGAACCAAGAAAACCAAATCCCATTTTTGGATTCAGCCTAAAATTGCAGGAAAAAACAAAAAGGAACAGTACCAAACCCCCTCCAACACCAACTATTCCAAAACAGCTCTCTTTGACCTTCAATTCAACCAATTTCGTATCATAAATGCTTCGCGGCTACTTCTGGCTTCTGCAAGACGGATAAATCCCATAAATCCATAAACACAACCACCACCTACACCGCAGAACAGTAACTATCACTCTCCAACAAGCTATTAAAAATAGGTTCTTTGCTTTCAGAATCCCAGAAACCGAAAAAAAAAAGTGAATATATAGCAGTAAACAGTTTACGCACAATAAATTTCCTACAGAAAAGCAATTGGAATTGTGGGAGGCAACAGAAATTTTGAATGTCTGGCCTTTGCAGGTTCTAAAGAAGCCAAACTGAAATTGTTTTTTTGTTTCTGTTTTACGTTAATCACACAACGAGAAAACTCAAACTTTCTGCAAACTGAACTTTTTTAAACGGAAATGGTAGGTCACAGATAGATGGGGCGGAGTGAGGAATTAATGTCTACTTGTTTTTTATCAGTAAATAAAATAAACTGACTGACAGTTCATAAATGAGAAAGATATTGGCACTGTTTTGGAGTTTGTGAATAATCAGTGTGCTGTTGGGTGGAATTCAATAATTTTGCATTTCTTTTTCTCTGTTTGTTTTTTCTCATAATTGATTTTATGTTTTTTTTTTTTTTTGGGAAAAAAAATCCTAAATTATTGTAATTATGGATAATTAATTTGTATTACCCTTTAAAACCCCACAAATTCAATACAATTACTTCATGTATAGGTAAAATATGGTAAAACTGAAAGCTGACTTCAATACAATTACTTCATGTATAGGTAAAATATGGTAAAACTGAAAGCTGACTTTCCTTCTGCTCTGCTTCAATTTAGCAAATCTGCTTGTTTGAGAGCGATTTTTTATTCCAAAAAATTGATTTTTTTACAGTTATTTTATTATTCCAGTCGTCATATTTGACTTCTTCCCTTACAGATGAACCCCACTTTTCTCTTAACGGTCAAAAAATCAATTCTCAAAATCACTCCAAAACAGGTTAAATGTAAAGTTTGCCTTCTGTTTTTCCTTCTCTTACCTTCCAAAAATACAGAATTTAACATCAAACTTTTGTGGCTATTCGTACGATTAATTGATTCAGTTTTTTTTCAACCTTTTTAAAAATTATTCTCCACTCTGGTTCAATTTAAAGAACTAATATACGGAAATATAAGATAATCTCCTAAGATTTAATTTCGTAACAAGATTCACTGAGATGTTGTCTTCGATTTTATTACACTGCAATGTTCTCGAATTAACTACATGACCATTCGGTGAATGTGTATGGTGTCTGGGTAGGGAGCAAGAACATTTCGATTTACCAAAGGTGTAAAATGATACAAATTCTTCTTTAATTAAGAAGATAATAATGATTATTTACTTAGATAAATGGTAAGTAGTAATTCTAACGCAATTTTGTGCCATTTAATGTCTAAATAAATAAGGACATGCACCGCCCTCCGGGGCATAGTTTAGTGGTGCAAAGGACAAGAGTGAGATTATCTCACACCTAGCTGGCAGCTGCAGTGTGGGGGTTTGATTCCTGAGACATAGAATTTAACTCCTTGTAAGCGCAGTGTACATGCAGTTCTTGTTCCCTGACTTACTAGAGCATATTCCGTGATTTACCTCCCTCATAAAACTCTATAGACGGGACGATAGAAGCCCTCAAAATTGGGGTTTCAACCTTTTAAATAAGGACATGCACAATCATTGATGTCTAAGAAATGATAAATTGAATTATTAATAAAGAAAATGGTTCAATGAAGAGGACATAATTATAATCATCTCACATCATAATCAGTGGAATTTTATAAAACCAAAGTTGATAAATCAAATCAGATTGTGAAGAGGACGAAGGCCAAATTTGACAAGTTGACTAAATCAAAATAGCAACGAAAAGTCGTGTCTTGACATGGAAGCAAAAACACTTTTCGATAAGTGAGCCTCTGTTTTATTGCCATTATTTGGCAAAAAAATTATTTTAAATAGTGAATTTTTTGAGAATATATGATTAAAAAATAAGTAAATTACGTGTTAAATATTTTATTGTTGAATGTGTAGTTGAAAATGAATAAATAGAATGACTTTTGAAATAATGGTTATCAATCAAGGACTAAATAACACAATGTTACAATCTGACATTTGATATCGAGTTATAACACTTCTACTTTTACTTTTATTTTTATTTTTTTGTAGAAGAGCTTGATGTGAAATTTACCTTAAGCAAGATTCCTCTACAAACTCTTCTAATAAAAAAAAAAAAAAAACTACTTTTAAAAAATTATTAAAACATGTTAAAAGAATCAAAAAAATCAACTTTTTACTTCACAAGTAATACTTAAATTAAAATTCTATAAATTGTAAAGAATGTGATGAAAGCGTCCAAGATAAAAAGAGCAAATAAAGTACTCCATTCTATTCTGTTGACTTCTGCCCCAAATATTTATTTTTTGTTGAATGTAATTTTTATTTATTTTCTCTTTAAAGTAAGGGTCCATTTAGTATAACTTTTAATTTTAATTTTACTTTTACTTCTTGTAGAAAATTTTTTGAAGGAAGTATGACTTTTGAAAAGTCAAAACGAACTTTTGAGACCTAAAACCTGCTTTTGAATCTGTTGAACTAATCTTATGAAAGTGTTTTTTCTAGTTAAAAAGGCTTTTAGAGGCAGTAAGTTCAATGTGGTTCCTTCTAAAACACTTTCGGAATATAAAGTTCTTTTAAAAATTAATTTCCAAACAAAAATTAGGGTAACTTCTTCCAAAACCTCTTCTAAGGAAGCCAAAGTCATGTCAAATAGGCCATTAATTTTTATTTTTAGAACTAATTTTTAAAAAAGTTTCATATTCTCAAAGTGCGTTTAGAGGAAATCACATTTGACCGCTTCTTCTAATCTTCTAATAGCTTTTCTAACTAGAAGAAGCATTCTCATAAAACATTTATGATAACATATTAAAAAAGTTCAAATTAATTTTTATTCACATATTTCTAGAAATCCACGAATGTTTATTTATTTATAAACAAAATCGTTTATAAACACACTCCGAACAATCTCTAAATGGACAAACAAAGGTATTCTTATCATGTTGTGAAGTAAGTAGCAGATTTTTAATGGGGCCAACCTCATCTCAAGCTCCATGACACCATCCATCAAAACCACCACTTTATGGACCATTTTTGAGAAAAAGTGCCAACTTTGTGTTGCATTTCTCATTTGGCTATCTTTTTGCTTAAGTTTTCTGTATGTGAAATGATTATTTATTTTGTAATACTTTTTCTTTCTTTCTTTCTTTACATACTTGGCTTTCTGCATGAATGCCATTTTAGTGATTTATAGTATGAGGTTTTCTTTTGATGTATTAATTATACTTTTGTTAATTGTGAGGTGACGCTTGTTCTGCAGACTTGGAAACAGTCAACTTTATTTCTTCTTATGTACGACGTTTATGATTTTAAATAATTCTAAGTATTATCGGTCCATCGCCTATAATTGGTTCAAAATTCTAACTTTTTTATGTTAACCATTACTACATAAACTTGGGCTTGGCACCTGTGTGAAATATGACATTACTCTATGAATTTGATCTAATATGCAATACTTATTTTATTAGTTAGGAGTGGATAATAATTTTTATGACAAATGAGGGGCTAAGTTGCAATTTTAAATTTCATTTTAACTTGAATGAATTACTGCTAATGAAAAATTTATTTATTCACCATTACATCGTGAACTCAATTTCAATCATCTTTGGACGTTACTATACTAGTTTTGCCCCTTTTTTTTTTTTTTTTTGCACATCATTGTTAAAGTACGTAATTCAATTAAAAGAAAAGAACTTTTTTTACAAGAAATCAATTCAACCTTAGTCCCCACCAAATTAAAATTTTTAATTATAAATAAATAAAGTAATATTTGCTTCCTTTGTAAAAACTTTTTAGTCGGTGCTAATGATTTGCGCCAATTTCTTAAGTAGAAAGAGTGTTATAAGAAAGAGTGTTATAATAAGTAGAAAAAGTATCCAATAAAGGGGCAATTTATTGATAGATTAATCACTATGGAGGAAAGTTCTCTTAAGGTCAGGAGTTTAGATCGGATGGGAACCTGTGATCCAACAAGGGCACAATCTGCGGTTTACTTCCGCTAGTCACTGAGGGACCGGTGACTAGGGCTCCAGGATTTACTCTGACAAAGTTGGGACACCTGGGTTAAAAAAAAAAATAATAATAATAATAATGAGTAGAAAAAGTGTTAAAGAAAGAGTGTGAAGAAATCTACCGACACAATCAATTAAAGTTCCCTGTTACTGACTCATTTTTCATGCCAACCTAACTATTCAAACTAAGGCTTTTCCATTAATTTTTATCACAAAATCTGATTTTTATCTAAATCAAACATGGAGTAAAAATCCTTTCTACGTTGTTGAATTATATTTAAAAAATAAAAATAACGCATCAATAATATGTCTTAATGTCCAATTGTATTAACGAAAAACTCATACTTAAGAGAGTAAGTATACCCATTTCAAAATTAAGAAATCAGATATTTATTAAAATTTATTTATGATTTAATTAATTAATTATATATTTTATTAATTAAATATATTAAGTTCACAGATCTATACAATTTGGTCACAAATTAAAGATTTAGTTCATCGAATATTATTATCAGAATTTTTATAAGTCACAAGTTATTTTATGATCACAATTCAAAAATTTTATAAGTTGTAATTTGTTCATCGATCGCAAATAAAAAAAATTTATAAGTTATATTTTATTTTTTGGTCACAAATATTATGAGTCGTTACTTATTTTACAATCATAATCACAGATTAATTTTTTTTTAAGTCACACATTATTTCTTGATCAGAATTTATATTTTTTATTGGTAACATATTGTTTATTTGTCACAAATTAACCAATTTAATGGTTACAGTCAATCAAATAATTTGCAACCACCATCACTTGCGATCACCATCTTCCTATTATCCCCAACACCACCACCACCACCACGGTCGTCGCCAGAACCACCATCACCATCTCGCGACAGCAAAACTACCACCTCAAATAAATCAACACATTGCAGAAAAACACCACCATATCGTTGCGCTAGATCCACGACCACTATCACCACATGCGCACACAAACCCAATTCAAATTTAAACATAACAATCAAAATCCAATCTAAATTCCTTTAAACCCAAAAATAATTTCTTTTGAACAGGCAACGCCTCCACTACAATCTGAAGCAACAGCAAACAAAAAGACAGGACAAGGCAAAGAGAGAGACGGGATATGGACAAAGGCACATGGTAGTGGTCCATGTTGTACGGCGGGCTTGGAGGTGGTCATCAACGGCGACAGTGGTGACAATCACTGTGTGGAGGGAGATGGAAGAGAGAGAATAGAGAGAAATATATAAGGGGCGTTGGTATAAATAGATAGAGAAAAATAATTAGGGTTTGGGAGGGTAGATGGTAGTGGGTGGATATTTAAAATAATTTAATTTTTAT